AGTCATATTTAGACAAGATTGATAACCATAAAACCACATTGAAATCCCCTGCAATGTTTTTTCATGTTTGGCTTAGAAATGGCAGAAGAGCAGAAGTGTGGAGCACTAATTGTGGATCTCTACTCAGTCGTAATTGATCTAACAAGACAAGCTTGCTAACCTTTACAACATATCGAAGTGCCCTTGCATGGAGTATTGCTGACATATATGGGCTGGAGCACCTTCTGCTTACCTCGGAGTTCTTGACAAGATCCAGAGACGGATATGTAATCTAATTGGCCCTGATCTAGCGTCTTATCTGCAGTCACTCCCTCACAGACGCGCCGTCGCCTCTCTCTGTCTTTTCTACAAATACTTCCATGGTAACTGCTCTGATGAGCTGCTCTCTCTGGTTCCCAGACTCCATGAATTCAAGCGCCCTACGAGGCTGGCATCCCGCTCTCACCCTTACACCGTAGAAACCTTCAAATGTAGCCGTCTCTTCTACTCCAATAGCTTCATACCTCGCACCTCTCGCCAGTGGAACACCCTCCCCAATTACTGTTTCCCTGAAAGCTATAATCTCCAACTATTCAAATGTAATGTCAATCGACATCTCCAATTACCTTGATCTACCCACTATCCTTCTCCTCTTCCTTTCTCCTATCACTCTTATCTGCTCTCGCTCCAAATCTTCCGCAACCCCCTGCATCCTAGTGGCTTCACGCCTTGCTTGGGGCACAATGCTTAAAAAAAAAAAGTACATATTTAATATGTACACACACACTCACATTTATATATATATATATATATATATATATATATATATGTATGTATATATATATATATATGTATGTGTGTATGTATGTAAATATATATATTCACCACCCCAAACGACCATGGAAGTAGCCACCAAACATCGACAAACAGGCATAAATAGATCCAATTTTAAAGAATAAACCAATCTGTCTAATGATCGCAAAGGCGGGAAACCCAGAGTCACAAACTCATATTCATACAATTCATATATATATATATATATATATATATTCATCAATATCTATATATATATATATATATATATATATATATATATATATATATATATATATATATATATATATATATATATATATATATAATATAAATATATATATATATATATATATAAAATATATATATATATATATATATATATATATATATATATATATATATATATATATATATATAAATTATATAATATAACATATATATATATATATATATATATATATATATATATATATATATATATATATTATATTTACAAACATACACATATATATCTATATATATCTATGTATCTATATCTATATACATATATATATATATATATATATATATATATATATATATTCTGCATTATGCATTTTACAAAAATACACGCACATATATGCGTCTATATTCTGCATTATGTATTTTACAAACATACACGCACACACACACACACATATATATATACACATACACACACACACACACACACACACACATATATATATATATATATATATATATATATATATATATATATATATATATATATATATATATATATATAAGCGTTATGGAATTGCATTATAAAAAAAATGGAATTGGACATAAAAAGTTAAAACATGAATTATTCTTTCAACTCTCAATTATTTTTTTTCTTTACTGATAAGATTGTTTTCATTTTCACTTTCGCCATTTAAAAAAATCTTTTGTCTGTTATTCGATATTTTTCACTTGTTTGCCAGTTTTACTTATATAAACGACTTTTATCTCTTTTCTTATCACTCGTCTTAGTTTTGTTTTTTTCACCGACCTTTTGTTTTAATTATAAATCCAATGTTTTCGGTTTTATTTCTCACCTTGAAGCAAAAATAAACAAACCGTGTGTTTTTGTTTGCTGTTCGAAATCTCAGGATACGTGATTCAGCGCATGCCCAAACATGCGTAGGCAAACGCGCATGCGCACTGCATTGACCTGTACGCTACTTCACACATACAGCTAATAGCGCACGCCTCACGTTTATACTTACCTCATAACAGTGGTGTGTCCGCTGATAACTGTACTTTAATATTTTTTTTTTTAAATGGTTGCCAAGAATCTATAATTGAATTAGCCTGATCTTAATCGCCTAACTGTGAAGTGTTTCGAAAATGGAATCGGTGGGCCAATTCCAAAGTGTCTGGATTTGCTTTGAAGTGATAACCATTCCATAAGCCCCAATACGATAATTCAGAGAAAACTTCCTGTTTGTTGTAAGATACATTCGAACACACCCTTTCGAGACTAGCTCGGCACAATTGTCATAGGATAATTTTATTTATTTTTTTTATAAATATTCCACTACTACAAGGCCCAAGAGCCACTCAAGGCAGAGGGTTACTGTATTAGCGTAAGAAAAGGCAGTAAGTAAAGTTCCTGGGGGTTTTACAGGAAAGATAACAGCCAAATCCTGACTTGAAGAGGTCAAGATTTAATAAGAGAATAGCAATTCAGTGTTTAGCCGGATAATTGTGCTCCAATTTCGCATTTCTTCATATATTAGGTTGGTGCAAAAATAATGACGTAATAATGTCGTTTTTGACGTTAAAAATACGTCAAAAACGACATTGTCACGTCATTATTTTTGCACCAACCTAATAGATCCCATGATAGGTTTTACTTTAATT